TCAAAGTCACAGACAGTAGGTGATGGGGTCTACAATGATTTCATTAACTTTTAACTTTGTCAGAAAACTACTGTCAGACTAATCAACATTCAATCTACTTATTATACAAACAATATGTAAGTTTTCTTAATGCAGCCTTATAACTTCTAGTTTACCTATCACATAGCTTTAGGAAAAGGAAAATTCAAGTAAAACACTGTAGAATCACCACTGAGTACATCTAACTTATACTACACTGGAGAAACAGTGCATGGATTCATGCACTGGTGGGGTCCCTCGGCCTGGACTGCGGGGATCAGGCTAAAACCAGCTCTCCAACATCCCCAAGGGGTCCCAGATTGCGAAAGGGTGGTTCTTGGGTGAGGCACCTCAGAATCCTGCTCCCTCCTCTCTGGTTCCAGATGCATCACCCAAGAACCGCAGCTGCCAAGTCACCACAGCTCAGCAGCTCCTGCATTGAGCGTCTGCCCCCTGGTGGTCATTGTACATCATAGCTACCGGTAGGATGGTAGAATGGTGAGCAGTCGCTTAGGCATTAGATAGATAGATAGATAGATAGATAGATAGATAGATAGATAGAGATAGATAGATAGATAGATATTAGAAATCTTTGCTAAAAATGGTGTGGATTCAGGAATTTGAGTGCTGACAATAGTTGATGGAATTGTGAGCAAAACAAACAAAGAAAACCTCTAGAATACATTCATAGATCTCTATCTCTTATGAGATATTTAATCTTTTTCTCCTACTTCATGTTCCTTGATTCCTATAGCAGACATTAGCCAGTTGTTTGCCTCCTCTCCCACCACCTCACTCCTGGAATCTGTATCCCCTTTCATCTTTTTGGCTTTTTGTCAACTACCCTGAATCCAAAAGAAAAGAAAAGGAAAATAAACTCAGAGGAATTAGAGACAATGCAGTGAGGAAAATGAACAAATAAAGATCATTAATGTCCTGTGAAATTACAGAAGGTAGGGCATCTATGAAGCAAGAACAGAATGTTATAAAAAGGAACATTCAGCTTGAGATGCTAGTTATCTATTGCTGCATGACAAACTACCCCAAAACTTAGCAACTTACAACACACATTTCCTACATCACAGCCTCTGTGGGTCAAAAATCTGGGAGTAACTTAGCCAGATGGTTCTGGCTCAAGGTCTCTTATGCGATTTCTGTCAAGCTTTCAGCTGGGATGCAGTTTTCTGAAGACTCAACAAGGACTGGAGGATCCTCATTAAGATGGCTCAGTACATAGCTGTTGACAGGAGACCTCAGTTTCTCACTACATGAAACTCTTCATAACAACATTGTATGTTCTTACAATGTGGCAACTGGTTTCCCCCAGAGCAAATAATCCAGAAGAGGAGAAATAAGACACCGCAGTGTCCTTTATGACCTGGTATCCAAAATTTACAGAGTATCACTTGCAGTCCATACTCAACGCAAGGGTTATTTAGACTACAAGATGGGAGCATCAAAGAATTTATAAACATACTTTAAACCACCACATAAGAAGAAAATAGCTGGAGGAAATTATGTATATGATCAAAGCATGACCATCAAAATAAAAAGTCAATAGAAGCATTAAAAGGTAAAGTTGAGAAAAGTTAATAAGAAGAGATGGTTACTATGAGAAGAGTAATAAAAAAAAATAAAGCTGTATTCCAAAAACTCAAATTCCCAGCTAACTGGAATTCCAGGAAAAGAAAATAGAAGGGGGGAAATAATTAAAGGGAAAAATTTCCCAGAATCAAAGGACATAGATCTCCAACTTTGTAAAAGAGCTCCCGTGCTGCCTAGTGAAACAGATGAAAAAAGTGACCCAAACCGAAACATAATAACACTAGAAATAAAGAGGAGTTTCTAGGAGCTTTCAGAGTGGAAAATTATTTCTTTAATTATAAACTTCCAAGAACCACCCATCTGGTATTCAAATTTAATACATTCTGGGGAGGGGGCTAAATTTCTTTATATGTATTAAGTTCCTCAGGTGTTTTTAAAGATTAGTCAAGTTCAGAAACCTTTGGTATAAAGTGTTCTGAGAGGAAAGTGAGATAAACATCTCTAAATTTAAGTATCACCTTTCTTTAAAATCATTGGACATATTTTTTAAATATTCTGCTATAAATAAATCCACTTTTATTTTTCGTGGGTGGCAGAATTATCCTTATCTTATAGAATCATTGTGGAGAGAGGCGAAAAAGAGTTCTAAAGCACATGTAAAATTTCCCGCAGATATGTACACAAGGAATGGTAACCTGTTCTCTAGCAGCACCAAAGAATAAAAGGAAATGACTTAAACTACAGCAAAATAGGCTTAGGGTAAGGAAGTTTCCTGACATTGAGATTTGTTCAACACTAACATGGATTTCTAGGGATGCTAGGAAATAGTCATCTTGGGGAGTTTTTAGAAAATGTTTCATGTCTCTGAGTTTAGAGGACAAGCTGAAGGAAAGAAGATGGGGTTGGGAAGACTGAACATGTTTTCATTTCGTAAGTTCTTGTTGAGCTAGAGCTAAGTGCCTGGCACTGTGGCAGGTGCTGGGTATTTTAAGATAGCATTTTTAAGTTTATTTGATCATGGAATACTTTGCAAATGAAAGTGTGTGAATAGATATCCATCAAGAGGAACTGCTAGAACAGCATGGATGGACCTGGAGAGCATTTTGCTAAGCAAAATAAGCCAGTCAGAGAAAGATAAATATCACATGATCTCACTCACTTGTGGAATATAATGAACAATATAAACTAATGAACAAAAACTGAACCAGAGTCATAGAAGCATCGAATAGACTGTCCAACCTGTGAGGGAAGGCTGGAGGTGAGGGGGTAAGAGATCAACCAAAGGACTTGTATGCATGCATATGAGCATAACCAATGGACATAGACGGGGGGCCGGGGGGAGAGGGCATGTGCTGGGGGTTGGAGGTGGCTGGGGAGAGGTCAATGGGGAAAAAGGAGACTTACATAATACATTAAACAATAGAGAACTTAAATTAAATATATATATGAACAACAAAAAGAGGAACTGCTAATATATGCTTATTTGCATAAAAACAAAATATTAAAAAGCCACATATTAATTGCTGCAAGATAATAGCAAATAATATTTATTAACAAAATGCATTAAACTTAGTAAAACAGCTCTCATCTCATTTGTTATAAGATACTAGAGGCCCGATGCATGAAATTTGTGCAAGGGGCTTGGCCCTCGCAGCCATGGCAGCTTGCCTCAGCCTTCGCAGTCCTGGCTTCGTCCGAAAGGACATCCAGAAAGTTGTTCGGCTGTCCAGTCTAATTAATATATTACGCTTTTATTATTATAGATAGTTTCTGTAGGTTAGAAGCCTGGGCACATAGCTAGGTTCCTTGCCCAGGGTCTTATAAGGCTGCAAACAAGGTATCAGATGAAACAAAGTTCTCTTCCAATCTCATGTGAGTTGTTGGCAGAAGTCAGTTCCTTGAGATTGTCTGATAGTAGTCTTTGTTTTCTTTCTACCTGTCAGCCTGGAACTGCTCTGATTTCCTAGTGGCTTCCCCTCGACCCTTGCCATAGGGCCTCCGCCTCCCGCAACACAGCAGTTCGCTGCATCTTCAAGACCAGCAGGAGAACATCTCTCAGATGCTTTACCTTCCCCTGAAGGACTCACCTAGTTAAGCAAGACTTAACCAGGGAACTCTCTCTAACTCAAAGTCAACCGATTAGCAATTTATTCATGGGAATAATACTCCACCATAGGTACTAGTACCACCCACACTCAATAGAAGAGGACTATACAAGTTGTGTACATCGTGGAGAGGAACCTTGAGGACCATCATAGAATTCAGCTTACCACAGACAGCCAAACCTTCATTTCAAGTTCTCAACCTTGTATCACATTAGAATCTCCTGAGGGACTATTAAATCCTATTCTCCAAATTATTGTTTAGTGGTTCTGAGGCAGGGCCGGAGGTGTTTTTATTTTGCTTTCTTATATTTAATCCTCACCCAAGGATATGTTTATTGATTTGAGAGAGAGAAAGAGAGAGAGAGAGAAACATCGGCCAATTGCCTCCCATACTCTCCCCCACCAGGGATCAATCCCACAATGTAGGTAAGTGCCCTGAGTGGGAATCAAACCTACAACATTTTGGTGTATGGGATGATGCTCAAACCAACTGAGCCACCCAGCCAGGGCTTTTTTTTGCTTTTACTGGTTTTGCTTTAATGGCTCTCTCGTGTAATTCCAATGGGCAAGCAGGGAAAACCACTGGAATAGAACAAAAACCTTTTTGGATTTTAAGATCTCAGCGAAGTTACTTCCCTAGCACCCTTTCTCAGGAAGTGACTAGAGAAGTACTCCTCTGAAATGAGGAAGTAGTCAAGGAAGAGAAAAGCACAAGATCTTGGAAACAAGGTCTCTAAAATAGGAAATGCAGAGGATGATGGGCAGTAGGAGCCCAGAATGTAACCAGACCAGACTGGAGCAGGAGGATAAAGGGTTCTGAGATAAGATTTCAGAGGATAAAAAAAAAAAGTATAATTAATGGATTATCTAATTATCTAATCAGACATATTGAGGGAAGAGAACAAGTATTACATATAACAATTGATATGCAATTGGAAAAAAAAGTAAGAATAGTTACATATAAAAATGACATATGTGAAAAATGATGCAATTATTTTCTTCAAGGAAAAGTAAAGCTTTCAAGACAGAACATGCACTACTTGGCTATGCAGTTAACAATATTAACACAGTAATAATGTAAATATTGATCTTTAACTGCAAATTATAATTATTCTGAGAATATAGGATGAGGGAAAATGTGTCTACATAAAAGAGTTAAATCAAGAAATTGTAAAATAGTGCTATAATACTAAGTCTTGAAATAACAAGAGAGTTTGTGTTTGCCTCTGAAAGTAAGATACAAGGAGTGAGAAACTACCCTTTTTTAATACAGTATTTTTATTATATTCTAACTCTACCCATATGTTACTGTGTTAAAAGTTAAAAATGAGAGCGCTTATGTCGGCAGCACGCATACTAAAATTAGAATGATATAGAGATTAGCATGGCTCCTGTGCAAGGATGACATGCAAACTCATGAAGCATTCCATATTTTTTTATTTTATTTTTTGTCAATCCTCATCCAAGGATATTTTTCCATTGACAGCATGGCTTATAATATGGAAAAACTTTAAATAATCTAATTGTCCATTGACTGGCATATCCTAAATTCATTTGTTTATTAAACAAACTAGAGGCCTGGTGCACAGATTCATGCACACTGAAAGTAAATTAATTAGAAGGTGGCTGGTGGGCAGGACTGGGCAAGACAGGCTGGACATGCCCTGGAGCCAACCTCCTGCCAACCTGGGGTGGTGCCAGGGCTCAAAGAGCATCAATGGAATGAGTGGGGTCCCTCCAGCAGGTGGGGTTCCTTGGCCTGGTCTGCGGGGATCGGGCCAAAATTGGCTCTCTGACATCTCCCGAGGAGTCCTGGAGTACAAGAGGGCTCTCTGCAAAGTTGCCATCACTCGGAAGCTCCTGCATTGAGCATCTGTCCCCTGATGGTCAGTGCGCATCATACCTACCGGCCTGTTGGCTGGTCACTTAAGCTTTTATATATATAGACTAGTGGCCCGGTGCACGAAATTTGTGCACATTAAAAGGGAATTAATTAGAGGAAATATTTTAATATTGCTATTTGCCCTTTCTCTAGAATAGAAGTGTCAGAGATGAAAGAAAATTAGTAAAATGTATATGAAAATCTCCCTCCTGTCAGAGTCTGGGGCGCACTGCAGGACCCAGAATCAAGTCCCCACCCATCTGCGCGCACCTCGAAATCACATGAGACACAGGCCCAGCCATCCTGGCCCCCCGTCAAGCCCTGCTGGGTTGGGGTCACAGCCTCAGGTCCCCTATCAAGCCCTGCTGGCCGGTCGGCCATTCTCAGGTCCCTCAGCCCAACGCTAAGGTGGGGCAGCGCCAACTCAGGTCACCTCGCCAGGCCTCAGGTCCCCTGGCTCCAGCGCAATGGCACAAGGGCATGAGGGTGTGATGACCATTTGCATAATAGCTCCTTATTGTATGGACTAGAGGCCTGATGCATGAAGATTTGTGCAAGAATGGGCCTTCCTTCCCCTGGCTGCTGGCACCACCTTCGCTCCAGCCGGAGCCTCCTTTCCACCTTCACTCCAGCCCAGAGCCGTCTTTCTGCCTTCCCATGCTGCCCAGAGGCCTGGAGTAGCTGGGGCAGCATGGAACGCCTGCGTTGTCACCATGGTGACAATACAAGCGTCCTGCCCCGCCCCACCCCCCAGCTGCTCGGCGCCTGCGCGAATGCATGCTGCCCACAGGCCTGCCATCTTTGTCAGGTTGACTTGTATACTCACTCCTGATTGGCTGTGGGGCGTCACAAAGGTATGGTCAATTTACATATTTGTCTATTATTAGTGTAGATATTTATTGAATGGCTGCTACGTGCCAAGCGCTGTTCTGAAAACTGGAGAAATAGCAGTTACTAATAGACAAAAATCCTTGCTTTCATGTAGCTTATTCTTATAGAAGGAAACATATCATAAAGAAGTATTTACTATGTTAGATAGTAATAAGAGCTATGGAGAAAAACAAAGGTGAAAAGGGAAAACAGGAGCCCTATGAGAGTGTGGATGTAATTTTTAAAAGGATGGTCAGGAACATCCATACTGACACTTAAAGACTTGAAAGAAGTAGGCAAGCCAAGTAAGAATAGGAGTTGAAGGTGGGAAGAAGAGTGTGCCAGAACTTCAAAATAAATAAACTAGGTCAACATGGATAGATTTCAAAAAAGATAATGTTGAGCCCAGCCATTGTGGCTCAGTGGCTGAGCATCGACCTATGAATCAGGAAGTCATGGTTGGATTCCGGTCAGGGCACGTGCCTGGGTTGCAGGCTCAGTCCCCAGTAGGGGGCATGCAGGAGGCAGCTAATCAGTGGTACTCTCTCCTCATGGATGTTTCTATCTCTCTCTTCTTACTTCCCCTCTGAAATCAATAAAAATATATTTTTTAAAAGATAAATGTTGAGTAAAAATGGCTATAAAGGAAAATGTAGCACATGACACTATTTTAAAAAGTAATTTTAGCCCTAGCCTGTTTGGCTCAGTGGATAGAGTGTTGGCCACGAACTGAGGGGTCCCAGGTTCTATTCCAGTCAAGGGCACATGCCCAGGTTGTGGGCTGGATCCCCAATAGGGAACCTGCAGGAGGCAGCCAATCAATGATTCTCTTTCATCATTGATGTTTCTATCTCTCTCTCCCTTTCCCTTCCTCTCTGAAATCAATAAAAATATATATTTTTTAAAAAGTAACTTTAGAAGTAGGTAGGTAAAAGTATGAAAAATGCAGGCAGGGAGCACCAAGATGGCGGCATAGGTAAACACCGGAGATTGCTGCCTCGCACAACCACTTCAAAAATACAACTAAAACACGGGACGGACATCACCCAGAACCACAGGAAGGCTGGCTGAGGGGAAATTCTACAACTAGAAGGAAAGAGAAAAGCATACCGAGACTCAGAGGAGGCGCAGTGCGGAAGTAAAATACTAAGGTGCGGAGGTGCATGCGGAGCGGGCTGGCAGCTGAGGGCGCGGTTGTCTGTTTCAATCGGGAGGGAGTCTCAGACTTTGAGCTCCAGATCTGGGAGAGTCTCTAAGGACCCAGACTCAAACGGGAGAAGCAGGACTGTCTGGCATCGGTCGGAACTCAAGGGCAGCTTTCTCTCCGAGGTTTGCAGCAGTTGCTGGGACACTGAGAGGCAGAGCCTCTGGGGACGGGACTGAGAGCAGCCATAACTGCTGACTCCGCCCGCCCTGTTGATCCCCTGGGACCCGCCCCACCCAAGCCCTGCACAGAGGCATTTGCTGGATAGCCTCAGGCAAAGGCTAGATTAGCACCTCCCTAGAGGACAGAAGTTCTCCCACTGCAGACACAGCTGATTCTCACAGCCAGTTGGCCTGGAGGTCAAATCCCCCACAGTGTTACCTACAACAATCAAGGCTTAACTACAAGACTGCACACAAAGACCACTAGGGGGTGCACCAAGAAAGCATAAAAAAATTCGGAGACAAAGAAACAGGACACAAATGTCAGAAATGAAGGATATAGAGTTCAAAACCACAGTTTTAAGGTCTCTCAGGAACTGTCTAGAAGCCGCCGATAAATTAGGATGGCACTCGAAAAGACTGGTGAGACCACCGATAAATATAGTGAGATCCTCAAGAAATCTAATGAGACCCTCGACGTTGTGAAAAAGAACCAACTAGAAATTAAGCATACAACTGACTGAAATAAAGAATATTATACAGACTCCCAACAGCAGACCAGAGGAGCGCAAGAATCAAGTCAAAGATTTGAAATGCGAAGAAGCAAAAAACACCCAACCGGAAAAGCAAAATGAAAAAAGAATCCAAAAATACGAAGATAGTGTAAGGAGCCTCTGGGACAGCTTCAAGCGTACCAACATCAGAATTATAGGGGTGCCAGAAGATGAGAGAGAGCAAGATATTGAAAACCTATTTGAAGAAATCATGACAGAAAACTTCCCCTACCTGGTGAAAGAAATAGACTTACAAGTCCAGGAAGCGCAGAGAACCCCAAACAAAAGGAATCCAAAGAGGACCACACCAAGACACATCATAATTAAAATGCCAAGAGCAAAGACAAAGAGAGAATCTTAAAAGCAGCAAGAGAAAGACAATCAGTTACCTACAAGGGAATACCCATACGACTGTCAGCTGATTTCTCAACAGAAACTTTGCAGGTCAGAAGGGAGTGGCAAGAAATATTCAAAGTGATGAATACCAAGAACCTACAACCAAGATTACTTTATCCAGCAAAGCTATCATTCAGAATTGAAGGTCAGATAAAGAGCTTCACAGATAAGGAAAAGCTAAAGGAGTTCATCACCACCAAACCAGTATTATATGAAATGCTGAAAGGTATTCTTTAAGAAGAGGAAGAAGAAGAAAAAGGTAAAGATACAAATTATGAACAACAAATATGCATCTATCAACAAGTGAATCTAAGAATCAAGTGAATAAATAATCTGATGAACAGAATGAACTGATTATTATAATAGAATCAGGGACATAGAAAGGGAATGGACTGACTATTCTTGGGGGGTGGGGGAAGGGGTGTGGGAGATGCGGGAAGAGACTGGACAAAAATCGTGCACCTATGGATGAGGACAGTGGGTGGGGAGTGAGGGCGGAGGGTGGGGTGGGAACTGGGAGGAGGGGAGTGATGGGGGGAAAAAAGAGGAACAAATGTAATAATTTGAACAATAAAGATTTAATTAAAAAAGAAGAAAAACGCAGGTAAAACTAAGAATAAAAAATATCAAATTAAAAATAGAGGCTGGTTGTGGGAAAGAGGGAATTGGAATGGGGCTTGGGTAGAGGGTCAAATGATATTTCAGTTTTATTGCAATGTTTTATTTATTATATAAAACAATAGATTTCATTCAAGCATAATAAACTGTTAAATATAATATGGGGGAGCATTCGAGATCTTGCTCCCTAGCATATATTGTCAGTTTGGCTCTAATAAACTCTTATAAAAATTTTCTACAGGTTTGGGCGTTTATGTTGAAGAAACTTCCAGAACCACTCTGTGAACCTGGACCAGGACTAAAATACAAGGAATGGCCCATTATGCCCCGCCAACTCCCTACTTCCTATCAGGTGAACTGGGGTGAGTTTCTCTTGGAATTTGGGGCCTCTCTGCTTTTAGTAGCAGGCCATGACTTTATTTGAGCTGTTTTTAGAAAATCCTCGGGGTGGATAAGGATTGAGATAACCCAGGGAAAGCAGAGAAGGAGGAGGAGGGGAGGAGGAGGAGGAGGAGGAGGAGGAGGAGGAGGAGGAGGAGGAGGAGGAGGAGGAGGAGGAGGAGGAGGAAAGGGAGGAATGGGTTGCTGCTCTTAATTTTGGTTTTTTAATTAGATAGCTGAGAATCTGAACAATACTTTTTGCTGGTCAAATGAGAGACTGAGCTTTTTTAGCTCTGAAAGAGAAAGGACATTTGCCTCTCCAACCCGAAAAGGCAATGGGGTGACAGCAGTGGTTCAGATCTCTGAATCC